TGAACTCCTGCATCATTACCTCAAGACCTGCATGAACTGGATCTCCACCTTTAATTACACACAAAAGAGTAAGTTCTGATCGGATCACTTTAATTAGCTCTTTTCTTGTAAGTGTGAGCATGACATTAGTTCAGGAGATCATCATGTAGTGAAAAATACGTAATGATGAGTTGAAAATGTAACATCGTTGAGGACACATTTAGTTGAAATGTCATTATTTGAGTGTTTGATTTAACTTTCTGGGTTTGTATCTAAAAAATGACACATCAGCAGCCCTTCACATTGTGAAACACTTTTAATTACAAAAACTCTTTTAAGGTTGTATTCATGTATAGGGGTTACTTCTTAGGTGTAATTGTGATCATTTACACACATGAATACGTGAATGAATGTGAAGAATATAATAGCTTTACACATAAAACCAAATTCTTTGTCAAATTGTATTTGTTACTTTCATTATGATTTCTGCTGCTCCAGATTCACCGGATGTTCGTGTGTTTGCGAGGAGAGCTCCTGATGATCACAGTAAGCTGGTTCTGATCTGTCTGACCACTGGTTTCTACCCCAGAGATATTGAGATGAACATCAGATTGAACAGAATTAACATTGAGAGACAAACATCTTCTGGAATCAGACCAAATGATGATGAAGCCTTTCAGATGAGATCCAGTGTGGAGATCGACAGTAAAGACAAGGGATCTTTTGACTGTTTGGTCATTCACAGCAGCCTGACAGAACCAGTGTCAGTAGAATGGGGTAAATATCATCATACATACAGTCTTAAGTGAATACAAGCAAAATGAGTCTTCTACATTAAAATTATGAAATGTAAATACAAGTAGGCACATTATAATTACATTGTAGAAGTAGAACATGATAATGCTGAAATTGATAAATGTTTCTGTTTACAAATGATTACAGTTAAAGTGCCTCAATTCAGTTCAACAGTTAAAATATTTATTAAAAACAACATTTGTAATTTATTTTTTATTTATTTTGCAGATGGAGCATGTTTTGACTGTGAAACAGAATTTCTATGGTTTGTTATAGCAGGAGCAGCAGTTCTAGTTCTAGTTCTAGTTCTCGCTGTGATTTGTTACTGCATCTACAAAAGGAAAAAGTCAAATGGTGAGTTATAAATATTCAATATTAACAATGTTCATTGTTGTTTTAAGGAAAGACTCTACAGGTGAACAGGGTAAAAAAAATGAACTAATAGTTGTCATCATACCTCCACAGCTGATTTATCATATTAAAGTCCGCATGAAATCAAAATTTACAATATTTATTTTGTTGGCCCACATTATAGTCTTAAGGTCAACAATTAATCCACTGAAAAAAATTGTTTGTCTTGGTAATCTTTAATCAAAATCTGATCATTTGCTTATGCTCTGGAATGGCATGCCTTCTCTGATGACGTCAGTTTGACGGCTTGGGCCATTCATAGTTTTCAGTCACGTGACTGGAGACCTGGCGGGCAAAACATCTATAGATCTGCAGCACAAGCCTTTCAATTTTCCATCCGTTTCCAATCCAAAAATAGTTAGATCATTTAGGTCAAGGATAAAACAAAGATATGTGAACAAAATGCAATTTTTGGCCATTTGCAACATATAAAACACCCGGCGCAAATTCTAAAACGTTTAATGTGAAAACACTTAATGTGGCTTTAAAGCAGTGTCATTAAAAGATCAAATTCAGTATGATTCATGCTTTATACAGGCAAGCAGATGAGCTCGGAATATGAACGCAGTATGCTAAATGGTTAAGTGTTTTCTTTATAATGGTTTTCTATGGGAAAACATTTAATATTAAACTTTGCGCATTGCGTTTATATTCTGGGTTCATCTGCTTGCCTGTACAAAGTATGCATCATCAAAAAGGTCTTACTACATTACTACTTAAAGGGATAGTTCACCCAAAAATGAAAATTAGTCCAAGATTTAGGCAAGGCAAGACAAGTTTTATCATCAGCATAGCTGTGATAGGCAATTTGGTTCTTTCTCATTATTTGACTTAGTGGGAGCATATACAGGCTAAACAAGAGCGGTGCAAGAATTGAGCCTTGTGGGACTCTGCATGTCATGGACGTCCACTTAGACTTATGCTCTCCTATACTCACATAATAACCTCTCCCTTCTAAGTATGACCTGAACCATTTGATTTACTCACCCCCAAGGCATCCTAGGCATGTTTGACATTCCTCTTTCAGACGAACACATTCGGAGTTAAATTCGACATTGTCCTGTCTGTTCCAATCTGTATAATTGCAGTGAATGGTGCCCCCGTTTCTGAATCTGAAAAAAAAAGTATCCATCCATCATAAAACTACTCCACATGGCTCCATGGTGTTAATAACGGCCTTCTGAAGCGAAACGATGCGTTAGTTTAACAAAAATATAGATTCTTAAAACTTTATCAACTAATGTCCAGCTTCTGGTCGCTCAAGCAGGCGTTCACAACAAGGCGGTCGAGCGTATGACGTAGGCGTAACGAGTCACGTGAAAACTATGAATAGCTTGGCCAGAAAATCCTTAACCACATCCCTCCAACCGTTAGTTTGCTATGAATGAGATATGGAGAGGAGGAGCCAAGGAGCGCAAAAATAAAACCCCGCACTCTATTCAATATTCCCTTTCAGTTAGAAATACGTTACTTTAATGAAATAAAGTCAGCAGCAGCTTCCGGCTCACACGGACTTTAAGAATTGAAACTATTTTTTGTATTCCAATTTTACTGAAATTATATTTTGAATATGCAAATGACACACTCTAATTTAATATGAACTAATTTGCATAATTTTCCAGAACATGAATCTGAACATTGGATAAAGCCAAGTTCAGAATTCTTGTTTAATTTTGTTGACATATTAGAGGTTTTTACCGAGGGGATGTTAGATTTCTCTGTAAATCAGAAAATACTGTCATCAGCCAGAGAAAACTTACACTTAAATTTGTATTATTTAGGATGTTTTCTGTCCACTAGTCTGAAAGAAGACATGTTATGAAAGCAAAATAGCCAAAATCTTAAAATTGACCAGTGTATGAAAAACAATGGTTTTGCCAGTAGTGTCTTGCATTAAATCTCTTGTTTTTATATATCCTTGTTTTGACATTTTAAACTCTATGAACTAGAGATGAACAGTTTTGGCAGTATATTTCTAATTTTTTTTTAGATGTATAGGTACATGTTTTCATATAATCTGTGTCTTTCTAGATCACACATACGTTTGCGATGATGGTGGAGAGAGGAACATAATTTAAATTATGAAGGTACGCCAGTCCAGTTATGTTTTTTTTGGTAATGGATCTACCGACTGAACTGGGGTTAATTAACTGGGGTTGATTAGATTAAAAGAACACTGATTACACATTAAATTACACTGTGCTTTTACTTTCTGGTTCTGCAAAAAATGTAGTGTTTTAATTTTTTGTTTTTGTTCCTTCAAACGTTTCTAACCGACTGAACTGGGGTTAATTAACTGGGGTTGATTAGATTAAAAGAACACTGATTACACATTCAATTACACTGTGCTTTTACTTTCTGGTTCTGCAAAAAATGTAGTATGTTTTCATTTTTTGTTTTTGTTCCTTCAAATGTTTCTAACCTGTGTCACCTCTATTTTAATAAGAATGCATCATTATGACAGTACCCATTTATGTTCCTTTATGCTTAGTTGAAATATGATGCTGCTTTTTTCATGTTTGACCGTTTCTTCAACGAATCAAAAACATACCTCATATGGGTTACATGTGTAACATAATTCTCGGTTGTTGTTTCAGGCAAATGGACGTTTGGGAGATATGAAATTAAATTAAATGAACCATCTCAGGATTTATAAAAAAGAAATGCAAAGGACTGGTTTCAAACAGGTTTCCTTCTCTTTTGGATAGACATAAATATCATCAGTTGAGTCAAATGTTGACTCAAATAGCTCAGTCTTACACTGTTACACTATTAAGGAGGTAAAAATTCCATTGAAGAATTTTATGGCCAATATGTGGCCACTTATAGCCTAGCATTTTTTAATCTCATTTAATTTAATCTCATCTTAATCTCACGCATTTTTTTTTTTAAATCTAAAATGTTTATTTTGATTAGAATTTACACATAGGTGTATACTGTAGGTGCAAATCCCTTTTGAGATTAATCTACACATATGTGTATAGATGCAAATCCTTTTTGATCTACTATAAAACTGATGTAATGTACAATGCTAAAATGTGTTATGAAGTGAAGTGACGTGTGGCCAATACTCTGAATTTCTGCTCTGCATTTAACCCATCCAAGTGCGCGCACACACACACCATGAACACACACCCGGAGCAGTGGGCAGCCATATTTCTGCGGCGCCCGGGGAGCAGTTGGGGGTTCGGTTCTTGCTCAAGGGTCTCACCTCAGTCGTGGTATTGAGGGTTGAGAGAGCACTGGTTATTCACTCCACCCACCGACAATTCATGCTGGACCTGACACTCGAACCCGTGACCTTCGGGTTACAAGTCGACTCTCTCCGACTTTTTTTTTGTGGGTTGCGTGTCTTTCTCACCTTTTTCACCCATGATGAGTTTGCATCCCTTTTCTGCTGCTATGTAATACTTGTAAAGGCAAAAAAGCAAAATGAATATCGGACGCAATGAGGCACTGGAATAAAACAACAGCACATCCTTTCTAGGTGGTTAGATCTGCAGTTACAGAGGCCAAAACTACATTTGCCACCACTGTAAGTGACAGAGATGATTGAGTGAGTGCGTAGCCTAGGTGACAAATTAATTGTAAATTGACTATTAAATTGTTTAACCAGAGTCTATACATAATTTCCATGACAGAGTTCAAGATAAATCCTTTAATCTTTCTACTGGAGCTGCCAATTTGCCAGTTTTAAGTGATTATTAAACAGCAAGCACAAACTATCTGGTGCACTGAGTGTCTGAATTCACTCACTTGTTTTCATTCATTCCTTCAAGCGAACTGAATTAGTGACCTAATGTAGGGAATAGTCAATGAGGGTATGGGGGCGATTTCGGATACAGCCTGTGAACCTGTTGTCTGATCCACACTCCGGAGCAGATGGTGGCGGTAATGCGCCAATTACGCTGGATGCCAACCGCCGTAAAACATTACGAAGAAGAAAAAGGCTCATTGGAGTCGGGGCCCCCTCGTGCGAGCTGTTAGCTTTTAGCATAGTGCAGTCATCGAAAATGTAAAGGACAACAAATATTTGATAGGCTCTAGTTTTTAATCATTTTCTGTGTAGAATGTTTTTGTGTTTTGTGTTTATTTTTTTGTTGTACGGTCAGTATTCGCGCTCGGAGGACAGTTTATTTAATTGTACGGTTTATTTACATCAACAAGCTCTTGGTGTGCTATTGCATTCTCTATTTTACTTTTCACGGTTTGTTTTACCATAGGCTAATAAAACGACGTGTGGTCGGATGCTGATGGTTTTTAATGTTAATTGTTCATTTTAATATTTTAGATCATATTTAGTCACTAACAAACACACTATAAATAGTTTTATAATAATATAAAATATTATGTCAAATTTTTCAGTGTACTTTAGAGTTTGTTTTCAGGTTTATCCACCATTTGTCAGTCCTTTTACGTTTTGTCATTGCTTGTGTTTTATACGGTCTGTTCCTCAGAGAAACATTCCCTCCACTTCAAGTTTACAGCTCTTTCCAAAGCAGACACTTTCCCAGAGTTCAGTGCTGGAGCTGTTGCTGATGACAGACAGATCAAACACTACAGTAATGAAGAAAGAGACTGGATTCTGACTGAAGATGACTGGATCAGTGCTCCTGAAGAACCACCTGATTCTAGAGACTGGTTCCTACATCAGTTAAACACTCTGTCAAACTGCACAGACTCTCAGTGTTCTGGTGAGTTTCATGCTTTAGTCATCAATTATCAGGCACGTTATGAAATTTCTTGTATTTTTATGTACTGCAAGTTTATCGTGAGTGTTGTTCTGTGATTGTAGAGCTCCATGTTCTTCAGAGAATGATTGGTTGTGAACTGGAGAAGCTTCCTGATGGAACAGTGAGTCTGAGAGCATTTGATGAATATGGATTTGATGGAGAGGATTTTATGGCTTTTGATTCTGACACTCTGCAGTGGATTGATAAAAACCCCAAAGCTAAAGAAACCAAAATGAAATGTGATCAGCAAACTGGAAGAAACCAGTTCCTCAAGCATTACCTCAAGAACTGCATTAACTGGATCTCCACATTTAACAACACCAGAAAGAGTAAGTTCTAAATGCATAATAAATAAGTAAAATATTAATGAATAATTCTTGTTTGATAAAGAGGTGATTTATCATCATCCAATAACAAATAAATACTGATAATGAGTTCTCATTTCTGAAAATGTGCTTTTCGAATTGCTCCTTTTCATTGTATGCATGTTTAGTTTCAGTACATTTTAGCAAATAAGCTGTACCTTCATTGCTTTTAGGTCTGCAGTTCTTAAAGAATAATGTACAGTATGTGGAAAATAATGTGTTTTTTTAACCTTAAATCGCATAAATGCATTTAATTAAACCAAATACACAAAATAATGTTCTTTTTAGCAACATCATATGACCCCTTTAATAAGCAGCCCTTTGTGTCAAAACACTTGTATATTACTTATTTATTTATTATTATTATGTCTTACACCGCCTGAAATTTGGGAAACTCTGTATTAGATTAATGCACCAAATCTTTGGTTAAAGTGATAGTTTACCCACAAAGGGATCATTCTGTCATCATTTACATTATTTATTCTCATGTTGTTCCAAATCTGTAAACTTACTTTCTTTTCTACAACAGAACTTTTTTTTCTTTCACAGCACACAGAACCAGATTATTTGTAAATAATTAGATTTTCTGCTTCTTTCTTCTCCAGGTAAACCAAATGTTCACATAATTTTGAGGAAAGCTCCTAATGATCAAAATAAGCAGGTTTTGATCTGTCTGACCACTGGCTTTTACCCCAGAGATATTGAGATGGACATTAGGTTTAACAAAACTGTCCTTAAAGATCAGACATCTTCTGGAATCAGACCAAATGATGATGGATCCTTTCAGATGAGAACCAGTGTGGAGATCGACAGAAGTCATGAAGGGATTTATGACTGTTCTGTCATTCACAGCAGCCTGACAGAACCAGTTTCAGAAGAATGGGGTAAATATCATCATAAATATATAGTTCAGTCATGAAACTCTAGATGGCGCATTCTGACAGGGTGTTAACGTAACTGATGATATTCAGAGAGTTAAACGACTTGGCACAAGCTGATTGGTTCATGCTGCATATGCAGCCAATGAGCTTACTGCCTTGCATTTATATGGCTGGCTAGCATTCACTAAAGATTCCTGCAGCACGCTTTCAGAGTTCTCTGAAACCCTCCAGCTCCACCTGTATAGATCTGCTACGGGGTTAT